AAAACCCAATAGAACTGAAAGGAAAAGTCGACAAGTTCACATTAATAGCTGGATACTTCAGCAGTCCTCCCTCAACAACTGATAGCAATTAGACAGAAAATCAGCAACATTATACAACTGAGTAACATCATCAGCCCAAAGGATCTAGTTCATATTTATAGAACACACTGTGCAGCAAAAACAAAATACACATTCATTTAAAGTGCCTATGGAACACGTATCAAGATAGACCATATGCCGGACCATGAAAAGCCTCAGCAAATTTAAGAATTCAAGTCAGACACAGTGTTCTCCAGCCACAATAAAATTGAACTAGAAAGCAATAACAGATATAACAGGAAAATCTCTAAATACTTGGAAACTACACAACATACTTCTGAATAATCCATGACTTGAAGAGGGAGTCTCAGGGGAAATAAAAACAACAACAACACTGAACTGAATGAAATAAAAAATATCAGAATTTATAGGACACAGCTAGCATGGTGATCTATCCCTTTACTAGTGACTTATGAGGCAAGAAAAGGAAGTCGAAGGCATACAGAGCAGGAAGGAAGAAATAAAACTACCCCCATTGACAGATCACATGATTGTCTAAATAAAAAATCCCAAGAAATTTACATAAAAATCTCTAGAAGTACTGAGTGAGTTCAGCAAGGTGTCATAATATAAGAAAAGTATGCAACATTATCAATTGTATCTCTATATACTCAAAATACCATTTACAATCTCTAAAAAAAATAATGAAATACCTAGATGTAAATCTAACAAACTATGAATGGTAGGAGTATGCTGAATACTACAAAATTCTGATAAAATAAGTTTTTGAAAGATCTAAATAAATGGAGAGACATATGGTTCATGGATTGGAAGACTGGACATAGGAAAGATCTCCATTCCCTCCAAATTGATATAAAGGTTTAACATAATTCCTATCAAAACCTCAGCAGGGTTTTTAAAATAGATACAGACAAGATTTTTCTGAAATTTATATGGAAGGGCAAAGGAATTAGAAGAGGCAAGAGACTTATTGTGAAAATGATGTAGAAGGACTCAGTCGACTATGTTTCTAGACTTAAACAGCTACAGTAACCCAGACTGTATGGGGTTAGCAGGAGAACAGACATACAGACCACGGTCCAGCATAGAAAACCCAGAAATGACCCATGCACATAAGCTCAATTTGTATGTGTGTTTTTTTAACAGAAGTGCAAAAGCAATTTAACGGAGGAAAGGGAGCCTTTCAGAAAAGGGTGCTGGGGCAAGTACACTTTCATGGGCAAAAAAAAAAATCAAACCTCAATGTAAGCCTCACTGCTCATGCAAAAATAAACTCGAAAATGCATAACAGAATCAACTGTAAGACTACGCTATTAGCATTTCTAGAGCACACGCACGTGCTCGCACACACAGGAGAAAATCTTTGGAATTTGGGCTTGGCAAAAAGTTCTTAGATTCCAACATATGATGCATAAAAGAGAAAACGATAACTTGTATTTTATCAAAGTTAAAAACATTTGCTCTGTGAAAGCTCATTTGAAGATAAGACAAGTTAGAGTGGGAGAGAAAATATTTGCAAACCACATGTCTGACAAAAGTCTAGTGTCTAGAATGTAAAAAGAACATTCAAAACTTAATAGTGAAACAAAACAAAACAAAACAACCTCAATCCAATTAGAAAATGGGTGAGAGACATTAAGAGACAGCTCACTACCAAGGATAGATAGACCAAAATAAACACAAAAGATGTTCAACATCATTAACCATTAGGGAAATGCAAATTAAAACCACAATGAGATATTACTAGACACCTATCAGGATGGCTAAAATAAAAACTATTGACAACGTCAAATACCAGTGAGGAGATGGAGAAACTGGATTGCTTAGACACTGCTGGTGGGGATTTAAAATAGTGCAACCACCCCAGAAAACATTGGCAGCTTTCTAAAAAAAGTAAGCATGTACCTACTGTATTCATTTCTTTGCTTTTTTTTTTTTTTTTTTTTAAATATATTTTTATTGGTTTNTTTTTTTTTTTTTTTTTATATATATATGTTTATTGGTTTCAGAGAGAGGAAGGGAGAGGGAGAGAGAGAGAAACATCAGTGAGAGAGTCATCGATCGGCCGCCTCCTGCACGCCCCCCACTAGGGATCGAGCCCACAACCCAGGCATGTGCCCTGACCGGGAATCGAACCCCGATCGCCTGGATCCTAGGTCGCCGCTCAACCGCTGAGCCACGCCTGGCCGGGCTGTATTCATTCCTTGAGTGCCTGTGATGCGCTGATTCTGAGCTGGGCACTTCAGGTTGTTTTGTCCTAGTCTCCAGAGATGCCTCCAAGAGAGGCGCTGATATTCCCACGGTGAGGAAGCTGAGGCTCTCTCTGAGGCGAAGCACTGGCCTGGGCGCTCAGGGTCATAAAGCCTGTGTGAAACTGAGACCTGCTTTCAGTCCCCGATAGTCTCATCTCCAAGAAGACTACGGTGGCCTTCTCCTCTGTGTGTGTAACCTGTCTGTGCCTCTCTCTTAAGGAGCTCCTGACTGCCTTCAGACCTACCTGGCTAATCCAGGAGCCTCAATTAAATCACATCTCCAGAAACTGTACCACACTACCTCATAGGTTTGCTATAAAGGTTAAGTGAAAAGTAGTGTTTAGATTATACCTGGGTTATAGAACAAACTTTATGTTGTTAATCCTCACGCAAGGATATTTTTTCCGTTGATTGTTAGAGAGAGTGGAAGGAAGGGAAGGAGGAGGAGAGAGAGAGAAACGTCAATGTGAGACAGACACATCGACTGGCTGCTCCCTGCAGGCGTCACAACTGGGCCTGGGGACTGAACCTGCAACCCAAGTACATGCTTTTGACCAGGAATCGAAACCGAGACCCTTCGATGTGCGGGGCCGATGCTCTAACCACTGAGCCACACCAGCTAGGGCTAGAACAAACTTTTTTTTTTTAATATATCTTTATTGATTTCAGAGAGAGGAAGGGAGAGACAGAGAGAGAAAGAGAAACATCAGTGATGAGAGAGTCATTGATCGGCTGCCACCTGCTCGCCCCTGACTGGGGATCGAGCCTGCAACCCGGGCATGTGCCCTGACCGGGAATCGAACTACAATCTCCTGGATCCTAGGTCGGCGCTCAACCGCTGAGCCACGCCCGGCCGGGCTAGAACAAACTTTAAAAAAAAAAAGTGGTAGAGATTAAGTGGGGGACGGGAAGAACTATAATACCCTGGCCCAGCTGTCTCCTGTTACCTGGTGAGGTCAGTCGTTCCTTCCAGTGCTCATCCCCGAGTCTCTGCAGACAGACAGCCCAGCCCCAGTGCCAGCCAGTGGCTCCAAATCACCCCCAGACCAGGTGCCCTCCTGTCTCACGGCGAATGTTCCCAGATGAGCAGAGGTTTTCTCTGAGCTCGTCTTAATATGTACAGCACTTTGCTCACATGGAAAATTGATTTTTCATTTTAAGCACAAAATGTGGCCAGTTTTATAACCTTTCTGCAGTTTGACAAAGGCCATTTATAACCTACTTTTCCACCACCCTTCCTGGCGCCAGCCTCAAATGTCTCCAAGAACTCTGTCCTGCACTGGTAATTATGAATTCTCCTTAAGCAAAATTTAATTTCCAAGAGGGCTGACCTTTTGTTTGTAACCATGGTTTTGTAAATTAATCTTTGCGTGTGTGTGTTATTGATGCCGTTCAGGGGGAAAGGACTGTGGAGCTGGTTGGCGGGGGAGTACATTGGGGGGGCGTTGTAATCAGCTGTGTTCAGTGATGGATGGGGAGGGCCGGGCGCTGCGTGTTAATCTTTCTGGACAGGAAATGCAGCAGGGTGACTGAAATTAAAACCTAGTACCTCATTTTCTCTCCCGAACACAGGAGAGTCGGAAAGGCTCCTCCATCTGCTGGACTGGAGATGAGCTCAGCCTCATCAGGTGATGGAAAAGGAAATTAAATAGCCAGTTGTCCCTACAGTATAAGCTCTTCCTTTCACAGAGCACTTAGCAGGTGCCAGACACACCAGCAAGAGCATTTGTCTGAGTCACTCAGGGTGGGAATCTTTGAGGTTTCTCAGGGTCTAGGGGACAGCCATTGGGCTACATGGAGGGATGTGCTCAGGGCCAGGCGGAGGACCTGGGCTATCAGCTGGAGGAAGATTCAGGTTATTGTGGTCGCTTGAAAACCATTCATTTATTTAGGCTGAGAGTGATGCTATTTAGAAATATCACTCCAGTGGCCATTTAGGTGGAGGCCAGGCTGGAGGCCAGCAAACTGGTTACGAGGCCTCTGAAGGCTCCTGATGGGAGTATGCAGACATCTCAGTTAGGGCTCCGGGCACAAGAATGGAGAAGTGACAGACTGAAGACAGGAAGGAAGAACACTCACATTTGATGGGTACCAAATTGGTGCCAAATTTTGAAGTAAGATATATACCTTCATGATCCAATTTCTGCTTCATAACAACTCATAGATGTAGGTGCTGTGCCCGTTTAACAGATAAGTAAGTTAAGGCTCAGAGAGGGTGAGTATCTTGCCCTGGATCACACAGGGAGAAAGGGAAGCGCTTGAATTGAAAGTCACATTGGGTAGGAGCTCTTTACAATACACCTGGCTGCCTCTCTAAGTGACCTCTATAGCTGCAGACCTGACTCCACATTATAATAGGCACAATAAAGATGATGATCCCAACCACAGCAATACCAACAGCATCTAATATTTGCGATGTGGTTGCCCCATGAGCCACAGCACGCTAGGCACTTTGTGGACATTCGCTCTCTTCATTCTCACAATTCTATGAGGCAGGTGCTGACAAAAGTCCCATTTTACAGGTGGGCGCACTGAGGTTCAGAGAGGTGATGGGACTTGCCCAAGGCCACACAGCTATTAGTTGGCCAAAGGGAACTTCATGTACCTTTTCAGCAGTTGAGAGGAGACGGTGTGATGGGACTGCCGCCTCCTCAGCCCTAACTCCCCTGTCGCTCTCTCTCCGAGCAGTGTCCCGAAGAGCTGAGGCCCATGAAGGACGGCTCCGGCTGCTATGACCACTCCAAGGGCATCGACTGCTCCGACGGCTTCAACGGTGGCTGCGAGCAGCTGTGCCTGCAGCAGACACTGCCTTTGCCCTACGATGCCACCTCCAGCACCATCTTCATGTTCTGCGGGTGAGTTTCCCCGAGGCCCAGCCACTCCCTTCACAGGGGCGGGAGGTGAAGAGCAAAGGCCTAGAGCCACAGCTTGGCCAGGCTGGGCCTGCCCTTCAACGGGATGGTCTTTTGGCCGCTGCTCTTGCGGCCCAAGAGGCAGAAGGCAAGAGTATATATGACATCCTTTTGGGTATTGGGAGGAAGAATAAATAATTGGTTAATAATTATAATAAGTGTAATCCATGCCCAGCCTGCATCCTAGGGTCAGGATTCATTTCTGCTGAAGGCTCCTGCCCCTCCTGCATCCCCCTGCAGCCTGCTGAGTGCAGTTAGGAGACAAATGCAGGCACCGCGAAGGTGTCACTAAGAAATCAGCAGGTGTAGTGTTAAGGGAACAGGCGTGGCCCAGGCTTTCAACTCTGTCTGCAGGAAGCTGGCATTGCCAGTTTCCAGGCTTGGCCTCCCTGTGCCCCGCTGCCCTTATCCGTAGGGGTAATTAACTGGGGAAGGGAGATGGAAAGGAAACCATGCAGACGAATGCTGAGAACTCAGTGGAGTTTTAAATTCACACTGAGACAAAAAGAAGGGACACACTCCTTCCAGCTTGCTGGGTGACCTGGGACAAGTCACTTTCCCTCTCTGGGCCACTGTTTGATAACCTATAAAATGAGATTTTGGACAATGATGCCTTCCCTTTCTCCCAGCTGACTTCGTTTTCCATAACTGAGGACTCAGTGGTCCTTTCCCCGTCATACATAGCACCTGGCATGGTGTTTGGTCCTCAGCAATCACTCAAGAAAATGGCAGCCTCTTTGTTCCCTTTCTGATGAGGCCTTCGAATTAGAAAACGTCCTCACCTTTTGACATTCTGTGACTCAGAATAACAGCCCTGTCCTTGGTGAGAGTGTCTATCATCAAAGTCTGCTCAGTGCATCACTGAGAGAGAACAGGCCCCCAGAACAGGGGTGGAGGAGTGGGTATGGGTTGCAACTCAGTTTAGCAGAAAATTAATTTCGCCTGCTTGCTTCTAATGTGTGGGGCCCAGTGTTCCGTGCGGGGCTTGTTTCAGGGCCTCCCTCTGCCCCAGTTACACCTGGGCTGCAGGTGCCTTCGAGCAGGTGTTGGGAGAACTCACCTGAGGCCCTGGTGATGTGTCGGTGAAATAAGAAATGAATTAGTGCATGCAGGCCTGAATTTATAGCAGTCTCCCCTCAGCGTAAGTGACTGCGGAGCGCTGTGAATTATGCACGGGGTTAGATGCCAGGCTGAGTACAGAATCAGGCATCTTCTATCTTTGTTATTTTCCCCCTGTGTACTTGCGGGAGGTGTCCTTCTGTTGCAAGTAACAGCGGTAACAGCACGGCGACAGCAATAGTAGATTTTGACATAGAAACTATCCATAGTATGTGGCAGTGGTCCAGGGGAGTCGACAGACTTGGGTTCTCATCCTAGCTCCCCACCTCTGACTCTCAGGCACTGGAGCCCTGACCTTCCATTTCCCCATCTCTAAACTTTTAATAATATCTACCTCCTATAATGATGGTTGCAAAGAGTGCAAAGTACTTTGCATTTAATAAAACTTCATTGAGGTTAAGGGATGTGCCCGAGGTCATATGGCTAGTAATGTAGTGCCCCGCCTCTTTGCTGTGTGACCTTGAACAAGTCGTTTCAAGTTTCTGCGCCTCAGTTTCCTCATCTGTGAAATGGGGGTGATAATAGTATCTCACTATGGAGTTATTATGAGGACTGAAAGCATTACCTTAATTACATCACAATTTACATGAATATTTGTGAAGGCCTTCGGACCACTGTCCTGCAGTTAGTACTCTCTGTATTTGTTAAGTACAAGTGAATGATAGTAATGACAATAGCCCCCAACTTGACCTCTTGGTTCTCAAGTCTGTGGATCAAGGCGGAGCTAACTTTTCTTACGGGTGAAACCTTGATGCCTCTTGCAGACTGGACCTCTGGCTTGCTGCCCTGGTTATCAGCCTCTAGTCGAGGCAAGTTCCCCAAAAGTGAGTCAAGAATCCTTTCTCTGGGGTCACTTACCACCCCCCAGCCCTGTGCTTCTCCCTGTGGCAGCCCCACTGCTCTGTTGACTTACCCGCTTTCCTGTCTGGTCCCAGTCACCCTGTGAACACCTCGTGAGCAGGGACTGGGTCTTAGTCACCTGTGTGTCCCCGTTGTCATTTCCTGTTGCTTGACCCAAAGACTTCTGCAAAACCATAATTGTTGAATTAAGGAATTCATCTACCTAAGGTTTGGTGCACCTGCTCTGTGCCCAGTCATTGTGGGACGCTGAGAATGCAAAGAAGTATTAAGCACAAGTCCCTGCCCACCAGGGGCAAAGGGGACACCGGGGACAGGGGGCCGAGCCTCACTCGGCCCTGATTGATGTGGACAGAGCACAGGTACTGGTAGGGTGGAGAGAAGCCTGTGACTGTGAGATAGTTTGGTAAGGTCATGGGACACTAAGCGGAGGCGTTTACAGTGAAATCTTATAGGTGAGGGAACATTACTTGCCGCTAAGACCTTGGCAAGTTACCTAGCAACCATCTTTGCTTCGTGTGTGTGTGTGTGTGTGTGTG